CTTTAAACACAGTTGCTATGAGTGTAAGTTAGTCATCTCCATTTTGGAGAACACTTTGTACATCCTTAAAAAAATGAAAAGTAGCATTATCATGCATATGTCCAAAGGAAATGGAATTTAGGTGATAACACTTGCACAGTTTTGGCATCATATTTCACAAGCATCAATATATAGAATGACATGAACTTTCATTAATGATGTATAGATGAAAACCATGAAGCATGTAAATAATGAGGGAGAAATATTTTTGTTTACATTATGGATGAACCCTGAAGGCATTCTGTTAAGCAAGAAGATACCAGGAAGAGAAAGTCAAGTACTGTGCAATTTCACTAGTACATGGAATCTGATTTTTTTTTTCTGCCTGTAGAATTTTGTGAGTAGCATGAAGATGACCAGGTACTGGAGGCATTGTAGGTCAGAATAGCAGGCTGGAGAGGTGCTAATCAAAGGCCGCAGAGCTTCCCTGTGATGGAAATGGCCGTGTGTTCAGAGATATAAGCAACTATAGTTCACAACACTGTAATGCTGAGTGTGCATGTGAAATGTCCCGAGATGGCCTGAAGTGATGGACATGCTAATCAGCTAGATTCTAACAATACATAGTATATATCCTTCACAACAGATTATTTTTGGATGCATTGTAAGATAGTAGACATTTTAATTCTACAAATTCTTTTTTCAAATTATGACTTAGAGTTATTTCTTCACTACAAGGTATTACTCTGAAGGAACCTATCCTTATTTCAGGTCTTGTAAGATGAGCATGCTACTGTTTTGTTGATCACTGCAGAGTCTTCATAGTGATTTTATTTATTCCTAGCTTCCTTTTGCCCCTTCCAAATTGGCCCCAGGCTAGGCAACTGCCAAGGGTTATACACTTGTTCCTGGGATCACCAGGAGAGTATTGGAATCATGAAAGAGTGTGTGTCTAAGACAGAACAAGTTTTGAGCTTTTTTTCTCCACGAAACAAAGATTCATTTGCCTGTCAACTGGAAAAGGGCTCAGATGCTTATTAGTCTAGAAGAATGCAGCAGGAATGGGCAGGCCATTTGTTGCCTCTTTGGATAACTACAGAAGTAGTTTCCTCAAATAAAATACATGAGTTTTGCATATTAACACCTAGATGCATGTTAGTGCAGATGTTTTGGATCACAATGCCAAAATAATTTTTAAGTGCAGACTCATTGGAGCTTAATAAATTCTATGGTTTTATGCATACATATATGTATATATGTATATCTGTGTATATACATATATTAAAACATTATATATTACCATATGGCGATATATGATATGTTATATATTCTATGTATATTATATATATACAAATATATAAAAATTAATGGTTTGTAGATTTTGAAAGTCTCATATCTGAGACTGATTCTCAGAAGGTATCAGGCACTTGGCATGAATGTCATATGCCAGCAGATTCTGCCTCTCTTTGAGACTGGCTCATAATGTCTTTCTTTATTGCACTTTTTCAACATTAGGCAGACTTGGCACTTTCAGCTTCTGCAAAACAGAAACCAGACACTTGATGACTTTAGTTATCTCAGACAATATATTGCTTAGAGAATTGAAAAGCTGTATATCTGATTGGGGGCTCTCCTGACTCAAGCAGCTAGTTAGTTTTATTGCCTTGCAAGAATTTGGAGTTGGCCTGGCAGTTGTGTCTCTGATTTTATTCATTTCCCTGATTAGGCTCATTGGTGAGATGGGTGATTCCGGGTGAGGGGCTATCAATTACCACAGATTCTTCAGCGTTCCAACAATGTGTGCTCTAACCAAGGATACCAAAGGAGCCCTGAACACCATTTGAGGGATTTAGGGATTGTTTGTAATTTACCATAGAATCATTATTATATTGATCATAATGTTCTGTACTTATGGGGATTAATTAATAGGCCTAAATATGAAAAGCTGCATGCTAATGACATTAACTGGAGCCACAATTATAAAACCTAATTTCCAATAATTCAATAGTTGTTTAGTAATCAGATTCTTTTGAGGTTAAATGAAAATCAAGTGGACACTTTATTCATAGAGACATCAGCAACGCGGTGATGCATAATCACACTTGCTGGTAACCTCATCAGTGCTGTGCAGGAGGCGACAGAAAGCCTCTGGTGTGACCATCAGAGGCTAGTTGGTACCTTCAGATGGACAGGATAATCTACAGAGTAAAGTACCGTTTCTACAGGCTCCAGTCTGGGTTGTTTTCTTTGTAACTGCAGGATTTCTTCCCTCCTGTCTACAGCCTGACAGATAGGCTTCTGTGCGTTCATCTAAATGGGGGAAGAGTGATTGGCTGATGAGATTGTTTTGAGGATCAGGCAATAAATATTTGCAAGATTCTTAATGCTATGCTCACAGTTCAAACATAGATGCTGCACAGTCATGTTAGATTCTTACTGCTCAACAGCAATTTATCTGGGGTTGAGTGCATGAAGATTTTTGAAAATCAAGGCTCGCAGAAATCTCCTCCAGGCTATGAGCCTTGGGCAATTTTCAGAGTTATATTTGTGCCTCAGTTGCCTCCTCTGTAGCATGATGCATGAATTTTTTCTACATCAAAGAGCTGTTGTCTGACTTAAATTATATATATATATATATATACATATATATATATATATGAACAGAAGATTAGCACATAGAAGTATTAATATTATTATTTATTAAATTGTTTTAATTATATTTATATTGCTGTGATGAGATAATGATCAAGGCAAATTATAGAAAAAGAGACTATCTGTAACCCACAGTTTCAGAGACTGTGACTGTCATGGTGGGGCGCATGGAAGCAGTAGGTTGGGATAGAGCTGGAAAAGCTCCTGAGACTTCATATCCTGATTCAAAACCAAGAGGCAGACAGGGCTAACTGAAAATGGCATGACCTTTTGAAACTTCAAAGTCTGCCTCCCTTGACATGACTCCTAATCCTTCCCTAACTGTTCCACCAAATGGGGACAAAACACTCAAATATTTGACTGTTGTAGGAGAGCTGCTTGCTTGTTCCTGGCTGCTCAGCCCTGAAATAATCACACAGAAACCATATTGTTTGCAATACTGTTTGGCCAATAGCTTAAGCATTTTTCTGGCTAACTCATATCTTAAATGAACTGATCTCTATTAATCTGTGTATCATCACGAGGCTGTGGCTTACCGTGTAATGTTCCCGTATCTGTCTCCACTGGGGCTACATGGGGCCTGACTCTGTCTTCTTTCTCGCAGCATTCAGTATAGTTTTCCCCACCTAGTTCTACACTGTCCTATCAACAGGAAAGGGAGTTTCTTTATTAACAAATGCTATTCACAGCATACAGAGGGGAAGCTTACATCATTTGAGCATGTGGGAGTCATTCTCATTTAAACCACTGAAAGAACATTAAGTATTTGTGCTACTATTTTTTAACCTGTGGAGAAAGGAATACCCACAAGCAGCGGAGTGAGATATATTAACAAATAAAATGTACTTCATCTGCCTCAGGAACTGTGGCAAGATGTTAAGAGATGACAGTATGTTAGTAGGTAGTCCTCACATCTGACATCTGAAGCAAACTCTCAGTTCTACTACCTATTAATATATTGACAAGAGAAAACAGAGCTAAGGAGAGAGGTTGATTCTTCAAGAATTCTGTATCCACGAGTGCTTATCTATATTATAACAAGAACGAGAAACTAGTTTTTAAAATTTTAAATTCATATTAGTGTGTATGGGAGAGAGGAGTGGGTGCAGTTGTGCAGTAGCACAAGCACGAGGTCACTGGGAAGTCGTGAGTGGTGATTCTCTCCTGGCACTCTGTTCAGACATTAAATTCAGGTCATTCAGCATTTACACAAAGGTATCTCCCCACTGAGCCCTCTCACAGCCCACAAACTGTTTACAAAAATGAACAGGGCTTTTATCCTACCTGAGCTAGTCATCTCTTGCCTACTATATCCAAATACCTGTAATCATGAATTTCAAAGAGAGGTTCATTTTGGCTCACAGTTTTAGATGTTCTAGCTTGTGACTAGCTTGTAACTCACTACTTTGGGACCTGATTGGGTAGTAAATAAAGGCAAGAACTCTTAAAAGAGAAACAACAACAAAAAATCAAAATAAAACAGAAAAAAAAAAGAAGCAAACAAAAATCTTGTCACCTTGCACCTCATGGCCAGGAAGCAGGAGAGAGCTGGTACCATACTGTGTCCTTCAAGACAGTTCCTCAGCGTCCTCCAGATCTCCCATGAGTTGCCTCCTATTAAGACATCCATCTCTAAGTATCTCCACACTGGGGTCAAGTTCTTGATCTTTGTGTTCATTCTACACTTAGACTATAGTATAATCTGCATCTATAGGGGAATTGATAACAGCCTGGGATTGGTTTGGAACTGAACATCAGATGTGAACCATCTCTGCTGCCTTTCAGCACTCTTATTTGCCAAAGACTCTCATTTTCATCCTAACTGCCAAGAACACCGTGAGTAAAGAAAACCAGGAAAGTTTCTTCAAAACTACAAAGCTGGGTCCTGGAGAGCTATCTTGGTGTGTACACAGCTTGCTGCACAAGATTGAAGACCAGAGCTCAGCTCTCCCAGACTCATGTAAACGCCAGGCATATGCAGGAGCCTCACTGTAACCCCAGTTCTTGGAAGGCAGAATCAAGCTGGATGGTTAAGCTAGTTTAGTCAGTGAGTTTAAGTCAAATGAGCAACCTTGGTCAGTATGTAAATTGGAGAATGAGTGAGAAAGGTACCAGATGACAACCTCACCCACAGGCCCACACATGCAAGCATACATACACACATGCATAGTTCACACATGAACATTTATAAAACCATAAAAACAAACAATCTGGAAGTGGTGGCATATCCCGAATTTTATACTGTGAATTCAGTGCCAGCCTCATTACACAGTGAGGCTTTATGCCAAAAAACAAACAAACAAATAAATACAAGATTGGGAAAAAAGCAACAACAACAAACAAAAAACAAAAGTTACCTTTATGAAATTCTCAAAGAATAAAGAAACATAATCACAAATTTAAAAACACAAAGAAGAAGGTAGAGGTCAGTGGCCTGGGTGAAGCCTGGATTCTGAGGTGGAGCTGTTTTCCTAATCCCATGCTTCTTCAATGAATCACTGCATGTGACTGCGTGTGACTGTCCAGTCAGCGTCTGGTCGCTTGATTCATTACTCACGGCCGGTCCTGTGGCATAGATCACATGACAATAGTATTTGGTTAAGTTCAATTCACACTTGTCCTGCTTCCTTGAGTGTGCCCTCCTTGCTTCTCAGTAAGAAGGTGAACAGTCCGCAATACACAGTGTGTCTCTGCCAGATAACTGGAATATTTGGGAGTTCCATTTCTTTTTAGAAAATAAGTTTATTTTATTGAGTACATATATGAATATAGTAGGGGAGGGCACCACAGCACGCACCTGGATGTCAGAAGACGACTTCATGGCATCTCTCTTTCCTTCCTGTGCATCCCAGATAATGACCTCAGACACCACCAGGCTCGTGCACCACGCAGTTTACCTGCCAAGTTCCGCGGTTCTCATTTCTATTACTTTTTAAATTATTATTTCAAAATTTTACTTCCAACATACTTACTTATCTTTCTTCCGTAACAAAATATCCATCAGTTCTTGGACTCGACTGTCTGATTCCCAGACATTCTGAGTGAAGGAAAGTGGGGTTCTGCCCTCAAGTGTCTTCTTGGTCGGAGCTTGGAAGGAGATGACTCGTCGCCGCCCTCTAGTGGAAAGAAGCCAACCGGAAACTTCCAAGCCCAGCGTCTGGGTGGATTGTGTTTTATTTAAAAGTGCCTTTGTAAACCGGTAGCTTAAAACTAAGACGTCATTGTTATGTTGATGCTGTAGTACACTTGACCCCAGTTCCTCAGACTATAAAAGCCCATGAGATGCTCAGTGAGTTCCTGAGCCAGGTTGTATTTACAGCAAAGGACTTTACCAAGTGCATGTTAAATTTCAGTGACAGAGGTGATGAAGAAATACTAATTTGGATGCCATAAAAACATTTTTTCAGTTCATAAGTGACAATGAGACTACCCAAGCTTTAGGTATCTTTAGAAAATTCCTTTTATCTGTTCAGGAAGTGGGCTGGATCAGGTGCCAAGCATAGATAATAAGAGAAAGAGGTTGTGCATCCTTGATATTGTGTATTCTTCCATATGGTCCCCCCCTCTCCCTCCCTCGGCCCTCTTCCTTCCCTCTTCTTTCCTCTCCTTTTCCCTCCACACAACAGCATGCTAAACACGCTCTATATCGCAGAGGTAACCCCACCTCCTAGAATTTCTTAATCTATGTATTTCCCACCACCATTAACCCTCTACTGAACTCGAGAAGCAGTAATGGAAGAACTCAGAACATGAGACAGAGCTGGTGTGGAGGTTAGATTTGAGTTCTGCAGTGTAACAGAGAGAAATGAGGAGAAAAGAGAATTGAATGAGATAGACGGTGCTTAGTAGTGGCACCCGCAGAGGAAAAGTTAAGGCAATGATTTGGAATCATGGCGAGATGGCTGTGATTTACCCAGCGCCTAATGTGGAACACATACTACGCTAGCCCTGCCTTGCATATTCTCCCTTTAAACTTAACAACAGCTATTTCCTGTCACTACTCTGTCAGCTCTGTAGTTTAGATTAGTAACAGAGGTATCAGGGAGTGAAGCTAGCAAATGGTGCAACATAGATACCATGTCTGTTGAATTATAAAGCCAGTTCCAACAGCCACACAGTCAAAGGATCCCCACACACAGTGGCTTGTCACTGAAAGTGCAGAATGTTCTCCCCACAGCTGCGACTAGGACAATGGCAAGGACCTTCTCTTCTCTGTGTTTCCATGATTTATTATTGTTGTAAAACAGGCAGCGAATCACCTTATCCTAGTTACTGTCCATTGCCTTCAGTGCTTTGCCTTGCACCTGTGCTTATTATGTACAAAGCAAAGAGCATCTTGCAGACTCATAGAATTATAGTCATATTCTAAACCTGTATTTATCTACTCAGAATCTAAAATCCAATATAGACAGTTAATTGAAAAGGCAATACCTCCCAGCCTGAAATTTATTTTACAGATGTAATTTAAACCTCAAAGCCTTTATTTTGCTCCCTATGGGATGAGGAAAACACTTTTATAAAGACCAATACAAATGATTGTGAAATGTTATATGCAGTAATTAGGCTTTAATATTTTCAACAACAACTAATAACTGCAACTTTTAAAGATGCTGTCATGCTGCAATTAGCACTGCTTTAAGACCTGGAAACAAAGTGTCTCCTCTTGTAACAGATGAGAATGAATTTTTACTGGGGTAGGTCAACTCCTGCCTGACATCTTTATGGCCCACTCTGTCTGATAAGCATGCCCTATTCCCCACTGACATGAGAACATTTGAAGGAAAGTATCTATTTTTATAAAGAGATTTTCTTGATGTCATTCTTCTGGATGTTTATATTCATGTAAGGGAAGCTAACTATTGACGGCACTAACTACTAATGTCTGTAATATAGATTACTGTGTGATTCCTCTGACGAAGAGGGACACAGGTCAGGGCTTGGAAGACAGATTGGTCTGTAAAGTGCTAACTGTGTGAGCGCCTTCGCTGGATCTCTGCATCCATGTAACAAGCTGGACATGGTAGTGTAATTCTGTAGTCACAACCTGGGAAAGAAGGTAGAGACAGGTGGATTTCTGGCCATATTAGCCAAATTGGTCTCAAATTACTAGGAGGATAGTGATTGAGTTCAATAATTGATATAGACCTCTGGCTTCCACATATACCCATATACAAACATATAAAGATACACAAACAGATGTACACATGAGACATACACAGCCATCAAACATGACACTTAACTACAAGTCATATTTTAAAACTGTTTGCAAGAGATGTTAAAAAATGGAAATGAAGGAAGCAAAACCTGAGGGTACAGGAAAATTCCTAATCTACAGTTAGAAGGTCTGTGAACTGCAGTCTGTGTTCAGTCTCCATTAAGGGCAAATTGGGTTGAAATGAGATATGGCTGATCTCAGCAGCATTAAGCTACTTCTATTTTCACCCACCTACACTCTCTCTCCAAGTAGTAATTCCTGGAAAGTTGCTGTCAAATTCATTGCTGCTGAATAAAATTCAGAATACAGCAGTCATTTCTGACCTATGTTCAATGTAGATTAACATTAAGAACTGAAAGAAAATCTAGATTTGTGTTGCCTGTAAGGAAATGGTCCAAGAGATGTAACTCTGTTGGCTTTTAAACATCATCTGGTGTTCAAGTCAGGCAGACAAGTTTCTAAGGTTTTAAATCTCTTTGTCTTTGTTGAAACTTGACTGATCGTCAGCTCTTTTTCATCTACAAATTGCCCTTCTAGGATTTCTTGGGAAAGTGATATGGGAAATATTTAGCATCCGTCTGGCTATTTAATTCTCATAAGGCATTACCCTGATACAAACATTCCCTCTTCTTCTCATCCCCCAACTCTTAGCTAACACAAACTGCTGAACCAAGAAATTATCTCAGTTGAAATATTTTCTGACAAAAAAAAAATGCTGACCAGTTCCTCAAATTTAGTTTGCCACCCTCCATTAGCAACTTCTTATTAATTCCATCATTAGAGTATGCACATTTGACAATATCAGTAACTCTGAGTACATAGCTCATTAATTCCTAGAAGAAAATCAAGGCTCTGTTGTAAGTAGTGTTTGTTGATGGCAGCAGAGACCTAAACTCTACTCACACAGCTGCTCCTCTCCATAGTGTAGAAGCAATGTCTCTGTTTTCCATGGAGGTGATCCATGCACTTCTCTGTCTTATTTCATATTTCATCTCTTTCATGTCAGTTTCCTTTTGAAATTGATGTCCTTCCGTGTGCTTTTTATTTATACTACAATTTTGAAAGATTCTTCAGCAAATTCTACTGACCTTGATCAAGGCTTGCTGGAGTCTCTGCCATCAACTGTATAGCATTCATTGGGTCAACCCATTGGTCGTACAAAATTAGATTTTCCTACCTTGTATGTATGTATGGAGGAAGGTGGAAATAATTGATGCTGTAGAGTCTGTGTGACTGTGAGTATAAGACTCTGACACTTTACTATTAACAGCAACCGTTACCATTTATTGAGAATCCATTTGATTTGTTATCGGAATTATTATGCCCATGTTCTGAGATAGAATACTAAGAATCTAGATAAATGAAAGAAAGCAATTTGAGTGTCAAATCTATGTACTTTATGTCACTGACACTGTTTGGTCAGAAATGACTCTGTAACTCCCTCATTCCCTCATTCTCTCTCTCTCTCTCTCTCTCTCTCTCTCTCTCTCTCACACACACACACACACACACACACGCACATACGCACACACACATGCACACAACATTCTAGAAGGCAAATTTCTTTCGATGTGCAACATTTGGGAAAGTGCTCGAACTATAACTCAATTTCCTATATTTTGGGCATAAACTGGAGAAATAACATTAGATATTTGGGTACATCTGATTAAAAGTTATTAATGTTAAAGGACCACACAATTCTCCTCACACAGTTTCGTTTATGTCTTTGTAAGTATTATAGAGCTAGTTTGTATTTGTTGTTAATTAAACACTGCTTTATGAAAGTCAGTATCACGTGAATGAGTTTCGGTGCTGATGAGACTCTCTCAAAGCACTTAGGGCCCTGGTCTCAGTTGGCCTCAAAGCGTAAGTGCACATAGGAAAGAGTGAGATTTCATTCTCAGAATTCTCAGGGGGTTGGACTTGACTTGGGCTGGGACTCCAGGGTAAAAGCATTCCAATGATACTCAGAGACTCTCCATTTCACCGTTTTCTTTATGAAGCAAGTCATACAGAAAATAGGCATGAAGACAATACAGTCAGTGTGGAAAGAAAAAGAGGAGGAGACTCCACAAAACCAAGAAATGTAAGGCATCTCCTGCCTTATGGCAAAGTTGTTTACACAATCTAAAAATTTGTAGTTACCTATAAGGTCCTTTTTCCAAAATTATCATATAAGTGACTCCATACCTAGCTTAAAAATCACCAATAAATGAGCATTCATCATTTGACAGAGGCATTGGTTGAGTTCAGATTCTTCTGAGGCTCTGTCACAAATGATAACCCCTATCAATAGGACAATGAGGACTGTTTTGATCTTCTTTTAATTAATATTGAATTTTATGTGTCAGTTTAATACAGGCAAGGAGACACAATTATGCCCTGAGTGCAGTAAGTCATACGTTCACAGATTTTGACAGACAGACGGGGTAATTTCAGTAGTAGGAGTTAATTTGCACTGGCATTAATGCATGAGAGGGTTGATGACTGAGTCTAATCGTTTCCTTGGTACTAGCTTAGTGAAAAAACATGCTTCATGAGCCATGCTGTAGAAGGTTATTGATTACGATGGCGTCTCCAAAAATGTATTGTTAAATTCACTTTTCTTCGTAATCAGACTTTGACCCTGAATTTAACTTTAAACACATCTTTTTCTTCCTCCTGCTTCCTATTCCTTTCATCCCTCCTACATGAAATATTGGAACAGACGTAAAAAGGTGGTGGAATTTATAACTTCTTTTTAGTTGCCCAAGAAAGAAATACTTTTGAAAAATGGCTTTTAAAAATTCAGTATTATCCATCTTATTGACCATTGCATATAAATAGATTGCATGCATTAATGCAGACAGAAATAAGTTTATGTTTTAT